AAATACTGCAGTGACCGCCCATGAACCCACCACCCATCTAAGTAAGAATCAGGAACTAATGCTGTACACCCGCCCCTCTGCTCTCCCTCATCTTGTCTGCCTCTCTCCCCAGAACAAATATTCTGAGTTTTATGTGTGTCATTCTCTTGGTTTTTTTCCCTGCAAAAAAAAAAGAAGAAAGAAAGAAAGAATAGTATAAAGACTGCTTGTACATCCTTTCTCTGGATTCATTAATTCTTAACATTGTGCCAGGTTCCCTCCCTCCCTTTGTGTCTCTCCCACACACACAGACCCCACCCCATTTATTTCTCTCTCTCTCGTCTCTTTCTCCGTTTGAAGTCAGTTGCCAACATCCTGACTTTTCATGCCTAAATATTTCAACACATATCTCCCACGTCTCCCCAGAACAATGCTGTTCTTTTACATTATCCACAATACCGTTGTAACACTCAACGGAACTCACTGGCTCCCTATCATCTCATAGACAGTCTGCATTCAAATTCCCAGAACTGTTTCTGATGGCTGTTGTCCCTCGTGATTTAATCCCTTCCCACAGGTTGACTTCTTTTAGTATGTCTTTTGCATGTAATACTCGCCTAAACCAAAATTGTTTCGTTTTGCTTTTGTTTGTTTGTTTAAAACTGAGATACCCTATTGTAGCTAGACCTGGACTTGCTTCTGTCCCTTAACAATCATTTTCAGGGCCCTGTAATATTCCGTTGAGTTTACTAGACCACTGACTGGTCTGTCCGTCTCCTGTCCTAGGCCTTTTGGGTTCCCTCCATCATCTTGCTATTTATTACTAAGCATGCTGTTAGCATGCTTGAGCATGTTTTCTTGGGCACATGTACCAAAGTTTCTCTTGGGTACATGAGATCACGGGCTCAGGCAAGGGTTTCCTCACCCCACTGCAGCACAGCAATCCCCTTCTCTCTGAGCCTCGGTTTCGCCATCTGTAAAACAGAGATGACGGAATTCCTGCTTCCCCTACATGCAGGCCCTGGAAGGAGTTAAGAGGTGAACTGAGGGCACCCTTTTATCCTGGTGAAGCTCTGGTGCCAGGAAAGGGAGCTGTTGTGCAAGTCACAGGGCCCCAGGGAGGGCTGAGCAGCCCCTGCTCCCTACAAGGCAGCTGTCCCACCAAGGCAGGGCACCTGTGGACATCCACCCTCTGTTCTCTGCAGAGCCAGACCCACCCGGGTCTTCTCTAGGCCTGGATCGCCCGGCCCAAGCCTGGTAGAGAGGGGAGGGGAGGAATCGTTCCCTCACCCTCCCAGGAGATCTGGTCTCTCCCGGCTGAGCAGCCCTTCCTCACTGCTGGCTGCCGCTGGGCCGTTTGTTATCATGGTTATCAGCAGACAGTCATCCACCTGGGCTGGGGACCTCCAGCTAAGTGGGCTGTTCAGGGCTCTTGTACTTTGCCCCAGGATAAGGCTGTGGAGCCACCCCAGGCATCACCCCAAGATGATTGGCTTAAAATTGTGTACATAGCATGGCTGTGATTTAATAAGCTTGGTTGCTTTCTTTCCCCAGGCAAAATTCAGTTAATCCCCAGGCTAACAGGCAGTAGATTAGAAATGACAAGATGAGAGCTTCTAGGGCAGACAACAGTGAGACAGGAGGCCAGAGAACTTGGAAAAACAGGAAGAGGCGGGAGAAATGCTGGCCCTGGGTGGTGCGGGACAGGTCACTGCTGCTGGGGCAAGTTCAGCAGCACTTTCTGGATGGCCCTGGGGGACAGGTCATGAGGGTGACCCCCGCCCCCAACTGTGTCCTTAGTAAGAACTGGGTACTTGATGCATTTTAAAAAATGTTCTCCCCAGAAGTAGGAAAGCAAACCCAGGGACTTAAGAGAACAAAATTCCATTACCTGGATACGTCTCATAGATAAAATTTCATTTCCTGAGACTACACACAATACCGAGGCATCGATCTGATAATAGCATCATCGGTGATAACTTGACTTTGAGACCGTAAACTTTTTTTATATGTGATGTCATTGGATCCATCGCAACAAACCAGGATTCCCATTTGAGGGATGTGGCAGCTGAGGCCCAGAGAGGCTGAGTGATTTCTCAAACACCACATAGCATTAGGGTTACAATGAGATTGCCTTGCAATCTGCTGGGCCAGGGACCTTCCCTGTCGCTAGCCCTGGGGACCCCCTTTCTGCCCACTGTATATAGGCATTCAAGTAGATACACTGAGGGTACCCACACTCCACACTGAACCCTGTGACATTTCCAAATGGAGAACCTGAAATGTTTGCAGCCATTGGTGTCCTGACAGCCAGCCTGGGTTCCGAGAAGCTCAGGCAGGTCCCCCAGAAAAGGACAGTAATAACTAACTGGCCTTAGGCCATGCCAGGCACAGGCACAGCATCCTCACCGCGTCCTCACGGCCGCTCCCTGTGGTCGTCCTCGCTACTTTCCAAACGAGGAGATTCGGTGGTTGCCCGAGGTCACAAGCTAATGCCAGAGCCAAGATGAGAAACCAGGCAGTCAGGCTTCAGAGCGGGTGGTCTTAACTCCCAGCAACAGGGCTGAGGTCCGGAGTCTGGGAAAGACCACTGGGTTTAAGGCCAAGGCCCCACAGGCCTGAATAATTGTCCCCCGACCACCACCACGTTCTCATGTTTTCTGAGGTGGTTTCCTTGTTTTGCCCACGAGCAGACCAGACTCAGAGGTGGTGGTTGCCTGGGCTGCCCTGCCCCATCCTAGGCTGGGACAGCCACCTCCCACAGCCATCCTCGGGGAGCTCCCTGGTGACCACAGGCCTGGCCACCCCCTCTCCAGACAGTGGGTGTGTGACAGTGGTGGCAGGAGCCTGGCTCTGTCTGGAAGGAGTCTCATGACCCAGCCGCCGCCTGCCAAGAGGCCCCCTTGACTAGGCCGCCAGGCTAGCAGAGGGCATGTTTTCCCTCCCCAACATCGAGGCCAACCGGGACGCGGGGGCCAGCTGTAGACAGTGGCTTCCATTCATGTCAGGGGAGACTGGCTCCGTCCTGGGCACCTCCGAGCCCTGACTCGCCTGTATTCAGATGGACATGTTGCCTTCTCCCCACGTGGAGCCAGAGGGCTGGGGACAGAGCTAGGGGGGTGCCAGGGGGCTCCGCCTGGGGTTCAGGTTCACCTCCTGGAAAGTGGGTCACTCCTTTGCCCTCACGGCCTGAAGAGCAGCCTTCAGTTTCCACTGAGAACACCAGAGGCTAACCTGGCCTACTTCATTCAAAAACTAGTACTTTAAGAAAAGTGGAACTCCCTTCCTCCAAATTAAGTAAAAACAAAAAGGCGGGGGAGAAGCCAGGAGCTACTAGGGAGAAACAGCATCCTCTCAAAGGCCCAACGCTGAGCCCGGAGGACCAGGAGGACGCGTGTCCCGGGCCTGGCAGCCTGCACGTGGGGTGTGCTGGGTGCACAGCAGTGGCTGCCACTGTTGCTGGTATTACCAACAGAGGCCACAGCCCCCATCACGTTCAGGACACTTCCCACGGGTGCCCCCAGCATCCCTCAGGCAGCCCAGGTCCCACTTTCCTGACATTTAATTGCTGCCACAGTTTGCTAGCTAGGGCCCACCCATGTGCTCTTCCTGTTGGCTGCCCCATGCTGCCACCTCTCCCTGTCAGCTGCAGCTTGGTTTGGGGGGTGCTTCCCCCACCCCGCAGATCAAGCAGGATGTAGGAGAGGGGAAATTTTCTACGTCCACTAACATGTTGAGCTCCCACAGGATGCCTGGAGCCCCAGCATGCAGATGAGGCTTCGACCCATGGGGCCTTTGGCAGCGGCCTGGCTGTCGCCTCCTCTGGGAAGCCCTCCCTGATCCCCGGCTGGGTTGGGGTCCCTCCCATGTGCTTTCATGGGCTGTGCACTGACATTTAGCAGTGCCCACGGTGGGGACACAGGAGGAGGATGTTATCTGGGATGCCTGACCTGGGCGGTGTCTCATGAAGCACCCAGATGGCTGGTTGGCCGTGGTTGAAGGGAGAGATTCAGAAACTCTACGATATGGCAGATCTAGATTTCAGAGGCAGGAGTGCAGGCACGAAGGGGACCAGACAAGGGACCATGGGGAAGTGGGTGAAGGAGGAGGGGCGGCAGGCAGTGCGGGGAGCTCTCTGGCTGCGGGGTGACCCCCAGGCTGGGAACGGAGGCTCCTCCCAGTGGTGGGGCCTGGGGAGGGCTGGGCCTCCTGGCCTGGGTGTGATGTGCCAGTGGGGGCAGCAGACAGTGGACTTAGAAATGGCTCAGAGCCCCCGCCTGGGAGACACAGTTGGCCTCCTAAATGGAACCGAGTTCTGTGAGATTTTCCGGATTAAAACAGGAGGGTTTGTTTTTCTCCACAAACCCATTCTGTCTGTTCTGCCCTCATCGCCCAGGCCCTGGCTCCCTGCCTGCCTCCAGCTCTACTCCCCACCCCCGCCCCAGAGGCCCAGCCAGTGTGGTTACTGTGCCAGGGTGCCCTGGCCCTTCCTGGAACTCCAGCTCCCTCCCCACCCAGGCCACAAGCCCACAGGCTGCCCTGCCCCACCCGCCCCTTATCCATCCCATCCACCCCTGGGCCTCCCACTTCCCGCCTCTCCCCTCTCCCCGGCCCAGCCCAGGCCCTGAACCTGGGGCTCCACTGACCCCAGCTGTTCTCCCAAGGAGAGGGGTGAGGGGAGCTCAGGGTCCAAGCAGGAGGTGCCCACAAAGGGCTGCCCTGGACACCAGGCAGGAAGCAGCCCCTGCATTCCCAAAACTTGCCTGTCTCCCTGGTCACAGGCCTGGGTGCTCTTGGTCCACGAGGCAGCCAGATCTGACAGCCGCGTCCAGCATACCATGACCTTTCACCCTTCAGTGCCCACATACGGGCCAGTCCTGCATCTGGTGCCTTTTCCCTCCCCAACCCCATCTGTCACAAACCCCTTCCTGCCTTCCAAGAGACCGCAGTTGCATCCTGCTCTCCCAGAGGGTCTCCTCAGACTCGGACAGACGGGGTAGGCACCCCTGTTCATGCTCCACATCTCCTTGGAGGTGTCCCCTGTGGAACTTCTGGCTGGGCGCTGTGACTGGGTGCCACCCCAACCCCGGTAGGCTGTGAGTTCCTGGGAGGAGGCTCTCCACCTCCCTCCCCTCGGGTGCTCCATGCCTGACATGGAGTCCTGTGCTGGGGAAGCTGTTCAGAGAATGTGGGATGGATGGATGGATGTACAGATAGAGCTGAAGCCAGAAGTGGGAGTGGGTGGGCTCTGGAGAGACTGTGCCAGCAGGAGAGGGTCTGGGACACTACGTGGGAGACAGAGCAGGTACAGTGGCCCAGCTGTGCCGACCCTCACACCCCCCTGTCTTCCTCTCGTAGATGAAGATGATGCCAACAGACTAGGAGAGAAGGTGATCCTCCGGGAGCAGGTGAAGGAGCTCTTCAACGAGAAATACGGTCAGTGCCTGATGGAGGAGGGCAGGGTCTGGGGGGCAGCCTTCCTTGGGGCCCCCCTTGCAGCTAGCCTGGCCGCCAGTTGCCCCCAGCAGGCCTGCCCACTCCCTGGGGACATAGTTGCCCTACCCGTGACTGATGAGAGCTGATCCCTCATTCTCCCCGTCCAAGAAAGGGGAAAAAAAACCCTCTCTGTGGTGCACACAGCAGAGACGGTGGTCAGCATTTCTGCTCTTCTAGGGCTGGGCTGTGTGGCAGAGGCCATGGCCCACGGCCAAGTGCTTGTTCATGCAGACACTTGTCTGTCCAACATGCACTCAGCCCTGAGGATTCTGGAGGCGGGAGTCTGATCCCACCATCAGGGGCTCAGTCTACAGAGGGAGGTGGACATGGAATGGGTGAGCGGCGTGCTGAAGGCATCCAGGTGCCAGGGCAGAACCCAGGATGGCACAGTGGATGATATGGTTACTGCTGATGGAGCGCTTTCTAGATGATTGCGTGCCCGGCTGTGCTAGGTGCTCTACATACATTCGTTTGTGATGAATTTAGTGGTATTAGCTCCACTTTGTATTGTAGTAGAAGGCAGTAAAAAAGAAAAAAAAAGAATTTCAGAGAGTGACAGAGGAAAATGGAGAAGTGTGGTGAGGAGTGGTGGGGGTGAGAGGGGGTAGCCATGCCTGTCTGGATCAGTGAGCAAGAAAGCGCCTTGGAAGAAGGGACATTTGAGCCGGGACTTGAATGTCAGGAGGGGACAAGCATGAGAGGGAAGCTTGCCAGGCGGAGGGAACGGCTCAGTGTCTGGGGACTGGGGAGGGAGAAGGCTGCAGGGCCGGGAGCGGGAGCCAGCAGGCCGGGCGGAGGAGGCTCCCCGAGAGCTGGGAGAGGCAGGCCGGCCAGGGCTTGGGCCCCAGGAGTTGGGGTTTCATTTTTGAGAGTAACGGGAAGTGACTCTGCTTGTGGTTTGCGGTGTCTTTTTCACTTTTTATTTTGGAGTCAGTTTTCAAACATACACAAAAGCAGAGAGAATGACACGGTGACCCACCATGTAACCCAAACCCAGCTTCTGTGCTTCTGTGCTTCCCTACATTTTGCCAGTCTTATTTCATCCATTTCTGCGGGCACACTGTGAGCACTGTAGCACTTTAAAACAAATCTAAGACATCCTGTCGTGTCCTCCATCAATACCTAAGTAAAGACTTTTCATTTTTTCTAACACAATAGGAGTAGATTTTAAGCAGACGCCAGGTCCTCATTTGTCAGGTCCAGGCGTGCACACTTAAATCATTCCACCAGGTGTGTGTGAAAATACCTGTTCCATTATCAGCGTTAAATGTTGGTTTTTTGGGGGGCTTTTTTAGGTATTGGATTTTTAGTTTTACTAATTGGATTTTAAAAACAAAGTGGTGTGTGTGTGTTGACTTCTGAATTCTCTGTGGTCTGGTGGCTACTAAGCAGGGCTGTGCTGGGTCCCAGCCCTTCCCCAGAGAGCTTGGCTTTGACATGGGACATCTTCCCTCGCCCTGACCCCCTGTGCCCTCTAGGTGAGGCGCTGGGCCTGAACCGGCCTGTGCTGGTCCCTTACAAACTGATCCGGGACAGCCCGGACGCTGTCGAGGTCACAGGCCTCCCTGACGACATCCCCTTCCGGAACCCCAACACGTACGACATACACCGGCTGGAGAAGATCCTGAAGGCCCGGGAGCACGTCCGCATGGTCATCATCAACCAGCTCCAGTGAGTGCCCCGGCACCTGCACTGGGGTGGGCAGAGTGGGCGGGGCCGTGGGAGAGGGTGCTGCTTGGATCAGAAGGGGGAACCCCCAGAGCAGGCCCAGCCAGGAGTTGGAGAGAGAGACAGAGAGAAAAGGAGAGAGAGGGACCTTTCCCTTGCACAGAATCCAGGACATGACCCGGAGTGAGGAAAGGGACAGTGTAAGTCCCTGTGGGTCAGCCGGACTCTGGACCCAGGTATCTTAGTCCGTTCAGGCTCCTGGAACAGAAGGCCACAGACCAGGTATGTAAATAACAGAGGTTTATTTCTGACAGTTCTGGAGACTGACTGGGAAGTCCAAGATCAAGGCTCCAGCAGACTTGGTGTCTGATGAGGCCCTCTTCCTGGCTCACAGGTGGCCCTCTTCTTGCTGTGTCCTCACGGGGTGGAAAGGACTAGGGAGCAACCTGAGGCCTCTTTCATAAGGGCACGAATCCCCTTCACGAGGGCACCACCCTCCTGACCTAATCGCCTCCCAAAGGCCCCACCAACAAATACCATCACATTGTGGATTAGGTTTCAACATCTGAATTTTGGGGGGACATAAGCATTCAGTCTATAGCGCCAGGTGTCCTGATTCCAACCCCTTTCAACTGAAACACACAGCCTCAACATTCATGGGTATTTGTTTATGTTTTCAATTTTAATTAGATTTTACTTTTTCTGACAATATTGTTCATTTTTACCTATTTTACTGTTATTTTCTAAATTATTTATTCCCACTACCCAGAGATTACCACTGTCCATATTTTACCAAATATTCTTACAGTGTTTTTTAAAAATAGACAGTAGTTTATTAGATTATTTTTGGATTTAAAAACAATATACACAGCAAACTTGGGAAATACCAAAAGGTAGAAGAAAAGATAACTCATAACCCTCTCATGCAGACGTAACACCGGTGGTGCATTTCTTTCTTGCTTTTTCCCCTACCTATATTTTCTTTTCATTTTGCACTGGATGTTTTAACATTAAAATAATATTTACATGTGTCCGAGAAAAATCAAGTTATTCTGCAGGGTCTCAAATGAAAAGGAGAGGCTTCCTTCCCTTCCCATCTACAATCTACCCCCTGAAGTAACTTCCAGAAAAACAGGAGAGAATGCCAACCCCATGTAGGCTTGCCTCCCAGAGAGAAGCACCAAAGACACTCTGGGGTTTTCCACCTGCATTTCCACTTTCCTTTTGATGCCTATTAGATACACATTTTGAAAAAGGAAACAGATCAAACAGTATTTATCTGTAGACAGTGAAACTTGCTGTTCCCTCTCTGGCAGTCCTGTGTGTATCTGACCACTGTCCGCGTGCATGAGGACTCCCTTTAATGACTGTTTAGATGGGCCATAATGTCCTCTACTGGTGGACATTTAGGCTGCATCTAATTTTAGGGGGCATGGTTCATATAATAATGCTGCAAGTGAAATAATAAAATAAAAAGTAAAAGATATCTTAAAAATACTACTGTCTCAAATATCCATTTACATAAATCTAGGCACACACTTTTGATCACTTGGTCAGACTTTCTAGATGAAAGCAGGCCCAGAGGGGCGACCTGCCCGGCAAGGCACTGGCAGCACCAGACTGGCAGTTGTCTGCCTGCTCTGGGCAGGGATGCTGACCGTTTTCATCCGGGTTTTACCTGGTTAATGGCAGTCTCTCATCTAACAAGAGATGTCACCCGTATTCAGGGAGCAGGTGAGAAGGAGGAGGGTAACCTCATTTTCTGATTGCGACCTCATTTCTCTCTTTTTTAGACCTTTTGCAGAAATCTGCAATGACACCAAGGTGCCAGGTAAGTTGGAGGCTAAAGAGGCCACCCTTCTGCCTCTTGGGGACCAGAGTCTATGGATAGATCTAGTCCACGTGGCACGCGATAGGTGGCTGACCACTGAGAGGAAAGTGTGGTCCCCCCTGCCCAGTACCTCCAGAGGGAACCTGAAGCCTCCATCTGCAGGGCCAGTACCCCCAGAAGGCCCCAGGAAGCCTGCAGGTGCCCTTCAGAGGGGCCCTGCCTCAGATGGCTGAGTGTGTCAGATCAGCTAGAGAGGATGAGGGACAAGCAGGAACCAGCAGGAGGGGACGTCAGGTAGGATGGTGGAAGCCACTTGGAGAGGGCGGGAGGGTGACATGTGGCCAGCAGGGGTGAGGCAGGCGGATGCTGTGTCAAACTGGCTGGGCCCACCTTGATTTTGCCTGCATTTGTAGGGCAACCCCTGCATCAGACCCCGGTCTTCTAGAACATTTTAGGGCACAGGAACCTGGTATACTGTGATTCTGACTAAGAACACATGCCACAGTACTGGAAAGGGTGGGCCCCCATGATTGGGAGGTGCACCTTTGATTAAGAAACACTGATCTAGTCCCACCCTTCACTGTGCAACTGAGGCCCAGGGAGGGGAAGGGACTTGCCAAAGTCACAGGGTGAGTTGGTGGCCACCCAGAGCCTGGTGTCAGGACCATCCGAATCACAGGCTACCATGGACTGCTGGCCCCAACGTGGCTGCTCAGTGGGGACAGTGACAGAATTCAGCAAGGCTGCCCAACCCTGGCCTGAGACCCGAGACCCCCAAACCCCAGATGGGTCCAGGTTTACCTGGAACTCCACAGCTTGAGGTGGCACAGCCCAACCAGAAGCCACCTCCTCTTGTGTGCTGATGGCAAGGCATGGCACTAGGCGCTTGGGGTATGGAGGGGACTGGGTTTGGGAGCTGCTCCCAAGTCAAAGGCAGACACGCAGAAGGGCACATGGAGGCCTCAGGGAGGAGCGTTTGGGAAAAATTATCGGAGACTGGATACCATCACTTACACGCACCCCACTCCTACACCATGGGCATCTTTGAGGTCTTACCGTGACCCCAGGGTGGCCACAGCCCTGAGCCAGCACCTCTGACACCTTTTGCATGTGAAGCCCCCACAAAAATCCCTCCTTCCTGGCTCCAGAGTCTTCTATTTCCCAGGGTCAATTTATACCACATCACAGACCCCAGGCTCTGGTTTTTCTTCACCAACTAAACAAACAGTTGTCCCTGGGCCAGCCTGCCTTCACTCTGTGTCATTAAGACCCTTCCGGGTGCTGTGTCAGGTTTCCACTCTGTCACCCGTCCCTTCGCTCAGTCAAGCCCCAAACCCCTTATGTAGCAGACAGTCGCAGATCTTTTTGTAAGTCTTACATATTCACATCAATTTAATTCAGCAGCAGCACAACACCTGCTGAGTCCTGCTCTGTGCCAGGCTTGGTCCTGGGCTCTTTCATACACATAATCGCCTTGGAGTCTCACATCACAGAGGTTCCCCCTTTTGGCTCAGAGAGGTTAAGCCATTTCCCAGGGTCCCACACTAGTAAGTGGCAGCAGTTTGAACTTAGGACTTCTGGCTCTAAACCAGGGTTTCTTTCCATTGGGACATGACTTGTCCTCTAGTACCTGTGACCCGTCATCTGTCAGGTCTGGGTCATCACACGTCCGTGGTAAGAGCGGCCGCAATACGATACTAGTTCTCAGTTTCTGAGTATTTCCTGGGGGCTGGGCACAGTGTCTCATGGGACCATCCCAGCAATCCTGCAGGACCTTACTCACATTTTACTTATGATGAAATGAAGGCACAGGGCCATTAAGTGACTCTCCCCAAGGCCCAAGGCCCTGCACCTCTGAGTCTAGGAGTTCTGGGGCGGCCTGGGCCCTGCAGGCTGGATGGTGTGGAGAGGGTATAAGGAGACCCCAGGCCCGAGCCGAGCCTCCTGGTGAGGAGAGGCTGTAGTGTTAGCAGAGCAGACAGGTGAGTGGGAACAGGAGGCTGGGTGAGCGGGGCCTGGGGCCTGGTTAGGGAAGGAGGCTGGAGAGACGGGCCTCAGCTGCTGGTGGGTCGGGAGCCTTGCGTGCTGAGAAGGGGACTTCAAACCTGAGAACAAAGGCCTTCTCCAGGGGGGTCGGCAGGCCGAGACCCAATGGCCCCAGCATCCGGCGTCAGCAGCCCTTTCTCCCACCAGCCAAAGACAGCAGCATTCCCAAGCGCAAGAGAAAGCGGGTCTCCGAAGGGAACTCCGTCTCCTCTTCCTCCTCGTCTTCCTCTTCCTCCTCCTCTAACCCGGAGTCAGTGGCATCCACCAACCAGATCTCACTCGTGGTAAAGTTGCACAGACCTGGACCTGACTCTGGCCTTCACCCGGCACGCGGGCAGGGTCATCTATCCTGGGACATGGGTCTGGGGTGCAGGGGGACGCTGGGCACCGAGTGTGGTCTGCACACACATCTCCCTGCCCTACCTATGTGATGGTCCACCTCCTCTCCCCTCATCGGATGCTCACAGGCACCCGGGGAGGGAGCTCACATCCTCGCCGTGCAGACGGGCCAGCTGGGGCCTGAGAGGGAGGGCACCTCACTACCCAACTCGGCAGGGCCCCCTGTGACTCCCAGGTTCCTGGAGCAGACCAATGCTAGACTAATCTCTGTGCTCACATCACATGCTCTAAGCCACAACCCTGTGAGATGTGGGTGTTACTCGCAGTATGAAGGCAAGAAAAATGAGGGTCGGAGGCCACCTGACTCTGCTGGCCAGTGGTGGATGGAGACCCCACCTCCCAAGCTCCACCTGTCCTCCCACGAGGCTGGTTTTTTCTCTCCCACCCAGGAGGAAGACCTCATTAAGGGCACACACTTGAGGGTTCTTCCCAATCTCAAAATATTAGCTTTGAAATCCCAAGTCCAAATGGGGAAAATATCGGAACACAGTTGAAAATGATTTTAGGATTCCTTTATCCTTGGACCCCTTCCTGGAAGACTCTGAAGCTCACGCTTTGCCTTTATCCCTGCCTGGGTGCTCACAGAGGGTCACTAGCTTCTCCCACTGCCCAGAGACATGACAGCTTCTTTGGAACATGAGGCCTAGAGGGGGCTGGGATTATGGGAGTGATCACCTGTTCTAAGCCAATCCCCAGTTCCCTCCAGCCCCCATGTCTGGCCCACATGGTTAGCCCCTAGGACACGAGGGTAACAGGTCAGAAGGCTCCAGACCAGGCCCCAAGGCTGCTGGTGAACTGCATGACCATGGAGGTCACATCCCCTCTCTGGGCCTTCCACAGCCTTAAAATAAATAGAATCTGAGGAAGCCCTTCAGAAAGCAGAGCTGTGTTCTGGTGGTCTCTCCGCGTCGCCTGGAGTCCTAACCCGGACTATCTGTCCCCCTCTCTCTAGCAATGGCCAATGTACATGGTGGACTATGCCGGCCTGAACGTGCAGCTCCCGGGACCTCTGAATTACTAGACCTCAGTGCTGAATCAGGACCTCACTCAGAAAGACTAAAGGAAATGTAATTTATGTACAAAGTGTATATTCGGATATGTATCGATGCCTTTTAGTTTTTCCAATGATTTTTACACTATATTCCTGCCACCAAGGCCTTTTTAAATAAGTAAAAAAAAAAAAAAAAGCATTGCCTTTGTTCTTAACTGTCACTTGTTCTCCTTGTTCTCATTTGTGGCATTAGCTGTCACTGGAACGAAGTCAGGAAACCCGCCCAGGTGGCCTGCCAAGGCTTCCTTCCTTGCCAAAGCAGAAACGGTGTCCGTGACCACTGGGCCCTGGGTACAGACCTCACACGTTTCTCTGCCGCTGGGGTCATGAGACCTCAGGATGAGGAACCAGGGAAGGTGACGTGCCTGGCCGACCCCCTGGCCTCTGGGAACGTGGTTTGGGAGGGGGCCATCTTGTCTTGGCCTCAACAATAACTCAGGTGAAGTCAAAGTCAAGTGTAAATCAAGTATGGAATCTCCGTAGCTGGAGGGAAGGCATCTTAGAGCAGAGCTCTGGGTTGGGCCTGGAGGGAAGGGGTGAATAGAACCGGGGCATTTAAGCAGCAGAGTGGCAGGTCACAGCTGCGTCTGAGAAAGACCACTTTGGTGGCAGGTAGAAAGGTGAAGGAAGGGAAGAGACCAGAGGCAGAAAGAAAGTCAAAAGGCCCTGGTAATTGTCCTGGCCGGGCACGTGGTGGCCGCTCATTCAGTCCCAGGGGGTGAAGACTGGTGTGTGGGCCGAGCATCCTGACAAGGAAGGGCAGGGTGCCCAGGAAGCACAAGGCAGGGCGACCTTTCCCAGTACAGAATCAGGAAACAGTCCTTGAAAGGGAGAGGGTATAGCTCAGTGGCAGAGTGCATGCTTAGCATGCACAAGGTCCTGGGTTCAATCCCCAGCACCTCCATTGAAAAACGAAGATAGAGCAATTTTTTCAAAATAAAGGTGAACTTTAATTTAAAAAAAAGAAGAAAGTACTGCAGGAAATGGTCCTTGAAGCTGAGCCCTGAACATGTTAGGAGCTGGCGGGACAGCGGGGCAGGGTGGTGTTCTGGGGTAAGGCTGCAAGTGCAAAGGGCACGGGGGCTGGACTGAGTACTTGGGCTTTCCAGAAAAAAGGGGTCGCTGGAGCAGAGGGTGTGAGGAGAGTGACGGGAGGTGGGATGGAGAGGTAGGTGAGGGCATCGGCAAGCTGTCCTGCATGTGGTGCTGCAATGAAGGGGTGAAGGGGGTTGCCTGGCTTCTGCCGCCCCAGGCTTGCACCCTGGGGCTGCTTTGCATTCTTTTTCTCGCTGGCCCTGGTGGAAGACCTTGTGGGTTGGGCAAAGGTGATGGGGTATGGTGGTGAGAATCACAGCACAGAGTACCAGGGGAGAACTAAGACCAGATCTGCATTTTGGAAAGGTCTGCCTTCCTGCAGAGAGTAAACACCAGAGGAGAGGAGAAGCTGGAGGCCACATGGGAGGTGCTTGCAGCTGTTCCAACCAGGGCTGGCAGTGGTTTAGGCCAGGTGGAGAGTAACAAGGAGGTCAGCCAACAGGACTTGGAGGTCAATTGGACGCCAGTGCTGGGGCGTGGAGCGGTCAGGGTGACCGCATGGTCCAGCCAAGGCACAGTAGGCTTGGAAGAACTGAGTCCTGGGTCAACTAAGTACATGATCCAAATAGTCCAGGAGATTCTGCCAGCCCTCTGGGTCAGCCTGGTGCCCAAAGCTGGGAGGGAAGGCCCTGTACCAGCCTTCCAGACTCGGCTTCCTCCTGGAAAAATGCAAGCCAGAAACCACAAGCTTGGCAGGCCGCACCCAAACTCTTCCCCTCTCTGCTGGTACCACCACCTCCCTACCACATCCCAGTGGCCCAGGAC